GATTAGTCGACTAATCGAATAAATAATCGGTGATTAATAGACTATAAAAATAATCGTTTGTGGCAGCCCTAACGGAGAATACCATAAATTTAGTTTTTCCTTCATTTAATGACAACTTGTTATAGTCAAACCATGTTTTCAACTCAGCTAGCTCTTTTTCTACTGTTTTTATTATTTCATCCATATTTTCTCCAGAGAAAAATAGATTTGTATCGTCAGCAAACATTACAAACTTTAAAAGATTGGATACTGCAAAAATATCATTTAAGTAGAGTATAAATAGTTTAGGTCCTTGAACTGAGCCTTGAGGAAGACCACATTTAACCRTTTCGGTCTGTGACTTTGTGTTGTTAATTTGTACGTATTGTAGTCTATTACTCAGACAASTCTTTAACCAGTGATATGTAACCCCTCGTAGGCCATGCAGTTCACATTTACCCAATAATCGTGCATGATCAATAGTATCATTTAATTTGAAACACYGTGTCTTCTGGATAAAGTGAGTTCTCAGCGTCTCCAGTTTCTACATAAGAACAGCTGTTGTGGGTTTTTCAGTCTGCATTCATCTCAGTTCTTCCTCATTTATATTCCTCTGATTTCCTCTTTTTTAGTTTTTATCCTACGTGAGTTCCTTATTTCTCTGATCTCACTTACAGCAAACACTACTCCTGAAGTGGGAGACATTTAGAGAACCGTTTCATTCCTTCATCGGTTTAAAATGCAGCCAAAATCACTATAATGCTTCATCTCACAAACATTCAGGCCCCGGCCAGCCTTACATGGTGAAACATCCTGAAAGTGCATTAAAAACTGAACAATGTTCATAAAACTGCAGATAGAAGCAAGATTTATCTTTGTTTTCTATTGCATTTTAAAATGGGATTCTGTATGAAAGGTATAAATAATAAATATCTTACCTGTTGTAGATAGCTCTTTGAACAAGATCAGTTTGAAAAAAAATTTTTTTTGGCTGATGGACGAACTATCTTTTAGTTCGAACACAGATGAAACCAAACAGGATTTTTCTATTTATAACTACCCCAGTCTCCTAAATTCATGMTAACAATATTTCATAAACCAGCTTTAAATTACGTGGTTCTTAAGTCTGTGGTTATTTACATGKTAAAATATCCTCAAATGCAACATGAAGCACCTCTGAGGCACCAAGGGTCACATCTGACAGAAACATGATAAATATTTTGTCTATGACTGTAACAGAGTAAGTCATGTTTTAAAGAGTTGAGTAATAGTGACTAAACCACTATGATGCTTTGAAGAGGACAAAGTTAGCCTGGGAAGAGTTTGCAACTATCTTGATGTAGAAAATAGCTGATCCTACTACCAAAGGGTTAGTTAGGGTKTAATCCTAAGTTTAGAAAAGTATAACTTGAGTATAGAGGAGTGTAAATTTAAATATAGAYGAGAATAATTTAAGTAAAAATGAGTATAGCCTTAAGTATAAACAAATTAGAATCTGAGTATAGAGTATAACTCTGAGTTTAGAAGAGTTTAAATCTGAGTAAAGAAGAGTATGACTTTGAGTTTAGAAATATATAATTTGAGTATAGACAAGTATAAATCTACAGTGGGGAAAATAAGTATTTAGTCAGTCACCAAT